ATATTCGGCCTAAACTAAGCAAATTTGGGTTTGATTTCAAAGCAATTTAATTCTAATTTGGGGCATTCACACTTGAATAAGCATGTTTTGATGAGTAGAAATGAAAAATTTGCTAAAAATTGAAGAAAATGGGTTATATGGGCTTAGGCCCAATTTCAGCTCATTAGGGCCCAATACGAGTTTGGGCAAGAATTAGGTTTCTAAATTTTAATTAAATTAATCCTTATAGTGAGTACATATTTATGCTACTTGTTATTAAAATCGTAGGGCAAAATAAGAAGAAAATCTTAGGAATTTAAATGGTGAAATATTTGGCCTAAATGAGAAATTTTGAGAAGTAAGTTTAAAGTAAGTTCTAAACCCTAAATTAATTCATTCAAGTCCAAAATAAGGTAAAGGGATGATTTAGAACAAAAGTGTTCATGAAAATCTAAAGAAAAATTGATTTAGGAAAAATTGACCTTTAGGCCCATTAAGGCCCAAACCGAAACTAGACCACCTAATTAATGAAATAGTACACATTAAGTTAGAACATGGATTAATACCTAATTTGGTAAAGGCTATATGCAAAAGGATAGTTAGCAACCTAAGAAAAATAATTTGGAAATGTTAAAATGTAGAGTAAGTTAATAGAAAAAAATGAAATGTAATTATTTACTTACTCTTATGCTATGATTCTATTTTCTTCCCAATAATGTGTAGAATGCAATGAATAATGAATGATGGTTATGGTGGAGTTGTGATTGCCGATGAGAAATGTGGTTATAGTAATCGTTGCGTCAATGTTGGTTGCACTATTTGATATGGGTTGATGTTATCTATGCTCGTTATGTCTGCCCGATTTTATACGTTTTATGTGTTTTCATAACATGGTTACATGACGATTTAGGGCATGGACTTGGGTATCCTTGTTAGCATGCATTGTCATTCACAATGCATATCCATTCCAAAGCTCATGAATGATGTTTCAAGTCATGAAAACGTATTTTATGCTATGAGTTTTTAATAGGGATTAGAATTATTTTAAAGAAGAGAATTTTCATGACTTTGAGGATTTTTATGAGAATGGGCTTCTTGGGTTTTCCATATGGTAATGGTAATGGTTCACGGTCGAGCAAGTGTAGACGAGCACGTTTAGAGGCTTGGTAAGGCACGTCTATGGACGAGTTTGGTTCGCCGGACATATGTGTTGGAAACCCCGAAGTACCTAAATAAGGCTTATCTAAAGACGAAAAAGGATTTTCGGACTATTTATGAAATGTTTTATGACATAAGGAAAAAGGATTCATTATGCATATTAGTGTTTTATACATACATACACATGTACGTACACTACATGCATACGTTAACTTACTAGGTCAGTAGCTCATACAATTCCTTGTGGTGTAGATAAATAAGATATCGCGGCTCACTTCTCTATGATGCCGACTATCGAGGAAGGCATCGGATGTATATAGCTTGGATGAGGGTTTGAATTCCGGGTAGACCTCTTACACAAGTAGTTGACATAGAATCGGTCATATATGTAAATAGTTAAGGTGTATAATCGAATAAACAATAATAAAATAATAATATCATAGTAGTAGTATAATTACTTTAAATTATCCACTACATATTGTCATGATTAGAAGTTTAGCAAACATGTAAAATAAAATAAATTAAAATAAAATATCATGATAAATAAACGTTACAAAAACACAAAAAATTTATAGTGAAGTTGAAGTAAAAAATAGAATCCGAACGTCATTAAAAGATTTTTGCCACATAAATATTCTTATATACGTTACAATAAAATCATAGTGCCTTGTTAGCTTACATTCATTGCACTTCGAATGTGGCTAACGACGGTAATATTCTCAACTTAGGTCCTAGGTTAGGGATGTTACGGACATGGTATCGAGTAGTTACGTCCAACTATATCCAAGTTACATGGACGGTGTCTCTCGGTAGCCTCTCGATAATCGGTAAGTATGTCCGATTACCGATGATTATGATTGTTTCTTGTGTATGTTCCGAATGAAACTCGATGTGATATTATATAAATAGTAAAGTTATAATGTGATATGGATGGCCTAATGATTATTGTATATGTGTGAAAGTAAAAAGAAGGGAACAAGTACGCCATCCAAACGGGTTAATAATAATACCACTAGTGGTAACATGGGGTCGAGTTGAGTGTTGGGTGACCGAGAAGGGGAATTGATGAAGCTCCTTAGAAAGCAACGAGGAGATGATGGAATGGCAGCAGGAGAGGCATGAGGAACGGATGCACGGGATTTTGGAAGTGACTCGACGAGGTCCAATCGAAGCTTGTCAACCACAAAGGAGCGAAATGGTTGAAGATTCCTAATGTTCAATTCGAAGGAATTCAAGGGCGGGCCAAATCTTAATGTAGAAAAAGAATGGATTGAGTCCTTAGAGGCTATTTTTAAGTACTTGGACATGAGTCATGCGGACTGGGTAGCATGTACCATCTTTATGATGACTACCGATGCACGTAATTGGTGGGAAAATGTAAAACAATCACTAGGAGATGAGGGGCTGATCCGAATCCATTTTAAGGATCCGTTCAATGAGAAGTATTTTTCTAACACGCCGAGGTCTCATAAAATACAAGAGTTCTTCCAGCTCGGACAAGGAGACATGTCGATCACGGAACATGTCCGTAAGTTCGAGCATGGTCAGTCGTCGTACTACTTTCATTGCTGAAAATGAGGAAAGGAAGAAGGAACATTCCATATGTGGCCTCGGATATGAGATACAAAGTTTTTTTGCATGTCATTCGATACTTATAAGGACATGGTGTGGAAGGCACTTAGAGTCGAAGTGGACCGAAGGAGACCACTCGGGTACCACCACCAACCATGAGAAGGGAGGAATCCCTTCAAACAAATTTAGAGGACGATCCTAGTAAAAAAAGGGCCTTTCAATCTAAACTAGAGGGAAGACAATAAGAAAGGCAAGGCACTCGTTAAAGTTCCAAGGATCGAGGATTGTGGTATTCCAAAATGTCCAAAATACGGATGCACTCATACGGGATATTTTTTGATGGGGACCAATGTGTGTTATTTCTATCGGGAGGCTAGATATCTAGCAAATAACCGTTCGAAGAGGAAGCCACCCGAAGGACGACATGTACCTAGATGCGTGTATACCCCGACCCGGGAGGAAGCAAAGAAAGAAGATACAAATGTTATATGCGGTAATGTTTCAATTCTCAACTATACCGCATATGCATTAATAGACTCGAACGTCATGCATTCGTTTGTTGCATGTTCATTGATGAGATAGCTAGGCATGGTCTAAGAAATGTTAAATGTGACTTATGAGGTGGCACTCTCGTCCGGAGAGTCACCGGAATCTAATGATGCAATTATGGGTTGTGAAATAAAAATTAGAGATTCTACCCTACACGTTGATCTTATAGTCTTAAGCCTTCGAGACTTTGATATTATCTTGGTATGGATTTCCTATCCAAGAATAGAGCATCGATCGATTATATGGGTAAAAAGGTAATATTTCACCTATCGGATGAACAATCCGTTGAGTTACATGCTAGGACTCGAATGAGACCCGTAACTATGGTGTTAGCCATGATGGCTTGGAAGTTAATAAAAAGAGGGTGTAGAGGCTACTTAGTGAACATGGTTGATACTAAAAAAGAGGAAAGCCCAAAACTAGAAGATATTAAGGTAGTTAAAGAATTCTCAAATGTTTTTTTTCAAATTATGTCGGGATTACCACCGAAAGGGAGGTTAATTTCAAAATTAAAAGTAGAATCGGGAACGACATTGATATCTAAAACACCTTATAGGATGGCTCCAACGGATTTACGGGAGCTTAAATCTTAGATATAAAAGTCTGCTAGATAAAGGTTATATCTAACCTAGCTATTCGTCGTGGGGAGCCCCGGTGCTATTTATGAAAAAGAAAGAAGGGCCACTATGGTTATGTATTGATTATAGAGACTTAAACGCGAGTGACTATTAAGAATAAGTATCCCCTTCCATGGATTGACGATTTGTTTGATCGGTTAAGGGAAAGCTCGGTGTTCTCCAAAATTGACCTTCAATCAAGATATCACCAGTCGAGAATTAAAGAGGAAGATATAAAGAAGATGACGTTTAGGACTCAATATGAGCATTACGAGTATTTGGTGATGCCATTTGGGTTAACCAATGCTCTCGCAATATTCATGGATTTAATGAATAGAGTATTCTATGAATACTTAGATAAGTTCATCATCGTGATTATCGATGATATCCCGATATATTCTAAGATTCGTGAGGAGCATAAAGGAGCATTTAGAGAAGGCATTGCAGTACACTACGAGAGCACAAATTGTACACTATGCTTAAAAAATATGCATTTTGGCTCAAGCAAGTAGCATTCCTTGGTCATGTTATAACTAAGGATGGGATTATGGTAGATCCCGAGTAAGGTGCAAGCAATGCGGGAATGGAAGCAGTCGAAGAATGTTTCTAAGGCATGAAGTTTTCTTGGGATGGTAAGCTACCGCAGAAAATTCATGGAGGGATTTTCAAAGATAGTCGCACCACTTACTTAATTAAAAAGGAAGAATTCCAAGTTCGAATGGGATAATCTATGTGAACAGAGCTTCCAGGAGCTAAAGTTCGGACTCACGACAACCTTAATATTAGCTCATCCCAAGGACAATGAAGATTTCGTAGTCTACACCGATACCTCTCGGATTGGTCTAGGGGTAGTCTTAATGCAAGATAGGAAGGTGATTGCCTATTCATCTCGATAATTAAAAGACTACGAAAGAAATTATCCCTCTAATGACCTTGACTTGGTCTGCAGTAATCTTTGCCTTAAAAATTTAGAGGCATTACTTATATGATGTTCGATGTAATATCTACACCGATCATAAGAGCCTCAAATATATTTTTACTTAGAAAGAGTTGAATATGGGACAAAGAAGGTGGCTCAAAGTGCTCAATAACCATGACATCGTTTTCCATTATCATCTCAAAAAGCAAACGCCGTGGTTGATGCATTGAGCGGGAAGTCCGTTGTAGCCTTACAAACACAGATTACGCGAGACATGGACAAGCTTCAACTCGAAGTCATCTTGAAGAAAATTCGAAGCAACCTTTTAGGTGTATTGACCATACAACCTTTTAGGACAACGGCGAGATCTAGAGTTTCGATGATTCGACAAAAGGTAATCGAAGGAAAAATGATAGATTTTTCCTTGGATAAGAAGATATTTGGTGCTATCGAATAGGTTATGCATTCCTAATGAAAAGGAGTTATGGGATGAAATTTTAAAAAAGCCCATGCTACACCATATACCATACATCTCACGAGTACGAAGATGTATCGAGATCTAAAAAAGACTTATTAGTGGAAAGGGATGAAACAGGATATCGTTGGTCGTGTGACAAGATGTTTGACATGTCAATAAATCAAGGTTGAACACCAAAGGCCATCGAGTTTATTAAGACCTTAAGATATCCCGGAATGGAAATGGGAACATATATTGATGGACTTCATATTGGGTCTACCTAGATCGAACGGAGAGCAAATGGTATATGGGTCATCGTAGACTCGTTTGACCAAGTCAGCTCATTTATTGCCCATTAAGATGACTTATTCCATGCAACAAGTATGCAAAATTATATTTAAAAGAAATTGTCCAACTATATGGAATTTACGTCTCAATCGTATAAGACAGAGACCATCAATTCATATCACGATTACGGAGAAGCCTTCATAAGTTGATGGGAACACAACTAAAGTTCAACACAGACTTTTCATTCACAAATAGATGGAAAGATGGAATGAGTGAACCAAATACTAGAAGACATGTTGAGGGCTTATGTGCTAGACTTGTCGACAAGTTGGCAAAAATATCTATCACTCGGTTGAGTTCGCTTACAATAATAGCTACCAATCGAGCATTAGGATGGCACCCTATGAAGCTTTATATGGGAGAAAGTGTCGATCGCTAATAAATTGGGATGGCTAAGGTGAAAAAAAGTTGTTGGGACCAAAGTTAATCCAACGAAATAGCTAGTGTTGTTCGAGCAAATCGGAGCGAGAATGAAAATGGTGCGGACTCGATAGAAAAGTTATAATGACATGAGGAGAAATGATTTGGTGTTCCGGGTAGGTGATAAAGTATTTTTGAAGGTAGCCCATATGAAAGGCGTAATTAGATTTAGACACAAAGAAAAATTGAGTCCACGTTATATAGGATCCTATGAAATACTAGAGAGAATTGGTGATCGAGCCTATAGGTTGGCATTACCACCTTCGCTCTCATCAATCCATAAGATATTTGATGTATCTATGCTTTGAAAATATGTGGACAACCCCAATCACATATTGAGTAGCGAACTCCTCGACCTCCGAGTCGATCTTAGTTATGAAGAAGGACCGGTGCAAGTCCTAGACCGAGAGGATAAGAAATTACGAAATAAAGAGATTCCTATAGTCAAAGTATTATAGAGGAATCATGAAGTTGAAGAGGCAACATGGCAATGAGAAGAAGAGATACAAGTGCAGTACTCGAATTATTCTAACGAAATTTTTGAAGACGAAATTTTTGTGAGGGAAGGATATAATGCCCTATACCCGTTAAAATAGGAATGTAATAAAAGTTTAATATTAAAACCGTATGTATATATATATATATTTGAGAATCGAAATAATTACTAGAAACTTAAAAGAATATTTAGAAGGGTCAAAATAGTTTTCCATGCTTAAAAAATATTTTAGTGATTTTTCGGTACATGAATAGTAGTTATTGCATGAGAAAATTAATTAAACCATGTTTAGAATAATTGTTAGAAGGGTGTTAGATTATTTTATATGATTTTATGAATTTTTCTACATATGGTGAATATTTTATTGAATTTTCTAAGTGTAGGAATAGTGTTTTTAGAGGTAAAGAATTTAATTAGACACCTTAAGAGTATGATAAATTTCTTTTAAGAGCATAGAATAATCATATAGGATGTGTGAGAGTGCCTAGAAAATTTAAATTAATTTTAGTAATTATAGGAAATATTTTTTTATAGGAAATAGTGTAATTTTCACACTAAATAAATAAACTGAAGGCTCAAATTAGGGCCAACAATTATGAAACTTTAAATAAAACTCTCTTAATGAATGTTTGAATTTATTCTATAAAGAAATTTGATTTTTGGAAAGTATAGAATATAATTTTAAAAGTAAGGACTAAATTACATAAAATTAGGGACTCGATTACATAAAATTAAAACTATAATAATCCAAATTAAATTATGTGAGAATGTTAAAGGGTTAAAAATTAGTCATAAACACTAAAAAATAAATATTATAATTGAGTTTTTGCACAAAAGAGGGACTTAGGAAAGAATGGGCTATGGAAAAGTCTAGAAACTTAGATGACCAAAATTTGTCACTTTCCTCCCAACTTTGGCCAACCTAGAGAATTAATTAATTTTGACTTCCATGTAAAATTATGGCCAAAAAAAAAAAAGTAAGGTGGAAGGGTTAAATAAAAGGGTGAATAAATGGCTAAAAATTGGGACAAATGCAAATGAATGATTGAAAATTGAGTTAAGGGCTGAGATTTTCCCACATTAAGGGTGGAGATGAGATCAATAAGTCCACAAAATTTCGTATGAATAAAGGCGCTAGAAAAATAAAAAGGGGATGAAAAATTGAAAAACACAAAAGAAACTCCTACAAAATTTTCACTTAAAAATCACCCAAAATTTTTTTAATAAATTCTTCCACCTCTAATCGGTGGAAGAAGCTTGAATTTTAAGTGGGATTCAAATATCAAATTAAAAAATTTAGAGGAAAAGAGGAGGAAGAGAAATCCTTTTCCAATCTACCTTTTCGAGTCTAATTGGAGCTCAAACAAGTAAGTTAACCTCACCTACACCATAAGCGTGCTTAATTTCAAGTTAATTTCATCTTTAATTGCTTGATTTGATTTAATTGCTTTATTAAAAAAAATTAGGGTTATGGTTTTGGTTCGGAGGTTTTAAATTCTTTCATTTAATTGGCATTTTGGCACTTGATTCTATCTTGTTTGAGCATGAACTAATGTTTAGGAAGGAAAAATTATACTTTGATTGAAGAAAAATCTACTAATTTTTAAGAATTATATTCGGCCTAAACTAAGCAAATTTGGGTTTGAGTTCAAAGCAATTTAATTCGGTTTGATGGGTCATTCACACTTGAATAAACATGTTTTGATTAGTAGAAATAGAAAATTTGCTAAAAATTGAAGAAAATGGATTATATAGGCTTAGGCCCAATGCATGTCTAGGTAGGAATTAGGGTTCTAAATTTTAATTAAATTAATCCTTATAGTGAGTACATATTTATGCTACTTGTTATTAAAATGGTAGGGAAAAATGAGAAAATCTTAGGAAGTTAAATGGTGAAATATTTGGCCTAAATGAGAAATTTTGAGAAGTTTAAAGCAAGTTCCAAACCCTAAATTAATTCATTCCAAGTACGAAATAAGGTAAAGGGATGATTTAGAACAAAAGTGTTCATGAAAATCTAAAGAAAAATAGATTTAGGAAAAATTAGACTTTAGGCCCATTAAGGCCCAAACCGAAATTGGACCACCTAATTAATGAAATAGTACCTAATTAAGTTAGAACATGGATTAATGCCTAATTTGGTAAAGGCTACATGCAAAAGCATAGTTAGCAACCTAAGAAAAATAATTTAGAAATATTAAAATGTAGAGTAAGTTAATGAAACGAAAATGAAATGTAATTATTTACTTACTCTTATGATATGATTGTATTTTCTTCCCAATAATGTGTAGAATACAATGAATAATGAATGATGTTTATGGTTGAGTTGTGATTGGTGATGAGAAATGTGGTTATGGTAATTGATGTGCCAATGTTGGTTGCACTACATGATATAGGTTAATGTTATCTATGCTCAGTTATGCTTGCTCGATTTTATACGTGTTATGCGTTTTCATAAGATGGTTACATGACGATTTAGGGTATGCACTTAGGTATCTTTGTTAGCATGCATTGTCATTCACAATGCATATGCATGCCAAAGCTCATGAATGATGTCTTAAGTCTTGGAAACGTATTTTATGCTATAAGTTTCTAATAGCGATTGAAATTATTTTAAAGAAGAGAATTTTCATGAATTTGAGGACTTTTATGAGGATGGGCTTCATGGGTTTTCTATATAGTAATGGTAATGGTTCGGGGCCAAGCAAGTGCGGACGTGTACTTTTAGAGGCTCGGTAGGGTACGTCGTGGATGGGTCCGGTTCGTCGGACATATGTGATGGAAATCTCGAAGTACCTAAATGGGACATGTCCAAAGACAGAAAAAGGACTTTTAGATCGTTTATGAAATGTTTCATGACATAAGAAAAAAGGATTCATAATCCATATCGGTGTTTGATGCATACATACACATGTACGTACACTACATCCATACGTTAACTTACCGGGTTGTAGCTCATACGGTTTCTTGTGGTGTAGATAAATAAGATACTACAGCTCACTTCTTTGCAAAGCTAACTACCGAGGGAGGCATCGGACGCATGTAGCTTGGATGAGGGTTTGACTTTCGGGTAGACCCATTACAAAGAGTAGTTGACATAGAATCGATCATGTATGTAAATAGTTAAGGTGTGGAATTGAATCGGTAATAATAAAATAATAATGTCATAGTAGTAGTATAATTACTTTAAATTATCCACTCGCATATTGACATGATTAGAAGTTTAGCAAACATGTAAAATAAAATAAATTAAAATAAAATATCATGATAAATAAACATGACATAAACGTAAAAAATTTATAGCGAAGTTGAAGTAAGAAATAGGACCTAAGCATCATTAAAAGGTTTTTGACATGTAAATATTTTTACATGTGTTACAATAAGATCATAGTGCCTTGTTAGCTTACATTCATTGCACTTCGAATGTGGCTAACAACGATAATATTCTCAATTTATTAGGTCCTAGGTTAGGGATGTTACATTACGTCTAGTTTTCTTTTGTTCATACATAAGTTCTTTAAGAACTTAGTGTACCTTGGCACTTACTTGATGGCCTCTAAGAGAGGCATGTTTACCTTAATCTTTGTAAACAACTCAAAGATCTCTTTTTCTATCTCTTTCTTCATCCCCTCTTTCCTAGACTTTTCCAATCTACTAGGAAATGGTGCATGGTTACTCAAAAGCTGAATGGAAGGGTTATAATTTACCTTAGGGCTCATTATAGCCTCGTCATTTG